TTAATTAAAAAAAAAATTGGGGGGGGGGGGGTAATAGGACCTTAATAAATATTAGGTGTGTCTCAGGGATTTTGGGCATAGGTTGAGGAGTACTTATGCATTTTCCCTTTTAAAAAAACATATATTTTTCCCCTTCAAACACAATAGCCACATTTTCTCCTTGGAATAATTTTGGTATTTGTAGATCATGAAACATTTATATTTATATTTAATGTGATAAAATAATAATCTTCAAAAATATTTGCATTAAATAAACAATGTTTTCTTTTATTTAAAAAAAAAAAAAGATAGAAGAATATTTTTTAAAAACATATATTTTTCCCCTTCAAACACAATAGCCACATTTTCTCCTTAGAATAATTGTGGTATTTCACGTTTATTTCTAAAAATCTTTCGTCTTTTTTTTTTATTATTTCATGTTCTTTTATTTTATGATTTTTTTCAATATTGATAATTCTTCACCTTTTTTTTTTTGTTTCTTAACATAGTATAATATTTCAAGAACAAAGTTTGAGAAAATGGCCAAATGACCCCCCAATCTATTACCGAATTTCCAACTACACACCTATTCTCCGCAGGAGTCCTATTACCCCCCTGAACTACTTTAAAATAGAATAAATAACCCCTTGAGTGCTGAGTTGGCATGGAGAGTGTATTTCACTCTCTTTGAGAGAGTGAGTTGCCTATTTATTAATTTTCGTTTTTTTTCTAATTTTTTTTTTCTTTCACTTTCTTTCTTCTTATTTATCTATACAATTATACATTTTTCACCATTATCATTGTTGAAGTTTTTCAATGGATGTTTGGAATAAAAATTATCAACAAAAAATGCATTTAATGAATAAATAATTTTTCAATAAACTTATTTAGAATATATCTAACAAATTAACTTTCTTTTTAAAAAAAAACATGCCCATTAATTAATTTTTTTTAAAGTGATGGATTCAAGAGTAACAAAATCAAAGTAATTGTATATTTAAAAAATAATTTCAAACTTAATAAAAGAAACTAAAACAAAACAATTTCTTCTACATTTTAAAAGAAGAATCCTACATGTTCTCCTAAAATCCATGAAGAATCAAAATCAAAAACTCAAATTATAAATTAATCATGAAAACTTTAGAAGGAGAAAGAAGAAAGAATAAAGAATGGGGAAGAGAGAGAGGTTTCTCAAATTGGTGTTACAAATTGATCTTCTCATCCGGGATTAGTTTGAGTAGTCGGCGGAATCTTCAAGGGATGAATCTGATCTCGAATGTTCATGACCCATTTAATGTGTATCTGAAATTGTCTAAGGAAGAAAATCGAACGAAATGTAAAAAAAATGTGGAAAAATTGTTGAATTAGTTGGATGAAAGATTTGATTAATTAGGACCACTATCTTGGACTCTAGAGATTCGGAGTAGATGAAAAAGTGAGTTGAATTTTCATTTTTATAAAATGTTAGAGATATAAAAATTTATTGAAGTAAAAAATGGTGTGTTGACACCCAATTTTGTACCTCCACAATATAAATTAATCATTTCAAGCTTCTTCAATTTCAAACGATTTAAAATAATTAGTTTTATAAAGTTTCAATATATATATATATATATATATATATGTATGTATATATGATAATAATTATAGTTTGCAAGTTATTTTAAATAGTTTTTTCACTTTTTTGTAATTTTAAATTAACATATATGTTTTATATAATTTTGTATATAATTAGTATATTTTATAAACATTTCGAAAATCATCACAATTTTTTTTTTAATTTTAGTGAGTATTTTAATTAATTTTGTCTAAATTAGTAGTTTATATTTTGAGTCATTAGTTTATTGAGTTAATTATTTTATTTTGTTAAAATTAAGAAGCTCATTAATTAATTATACTAATTCGTCCTATTTAAGTTTTAGCCGAATTTGCAAATTAAATTCGATTTGGCTAAGTTGTTAATTCACTTAGTTATATCTTACTTTAAACCCACCAAAGACTTTAGTTTAGGGCCCCATTTCTTTAATTTCCAGCAGCCCGTACCTTTCTCATTTCAGTCAAACAATTCCTAACATACAATGCATACGTACAACAATAACAATACCAAAGCTGCCAGCCCAACAATTCCCAGACCCATCTCTTTAACACCTCCTTTGCCCCAGCCCAAATAAATCAATAACAATACAACAGAAACAACACCAAATCGACCCAATTCCCCTGACCCGGCCCCATCCCTTTTTGCCCTTTCAATTTCAACGATAGCAGCAGCAGAATCGACAACAACAACAGTAGCCGAACGACCCTACCTGCGTCTCCTTCTTCTTCAGTAAAAACCAGAAACGTCAAAGTAGCAGCAGTCCAAAAATGTCAACAGCAACTATACGCAGCAGCCCTGCTGCCTAGTCCGAATTTTCTGGGATTTTGGAGAAAATTTCATACCGAACCCAGTTGCTCCCTATTCCTTGAAAAGGATTTTGAATTTTGAATTTGGAGGAGAATTCTATTTCTGCCCCTACTCGCTATCCGAATTTCCCCCCATTACCCCCAAAAAATCGTAAATCGTAGAATTTCCCCATATATATATGTCTCTTCTTCTCATTTGTAAGGGGGGATTTTTTAGTGAAAATACCTAGAATAACTCAAGTAAAAATATCTAAAATACATACGAAATACACTTCAAGAAAAAAGAACTAGTTTCAGTATTTTGAGTCCGAGCTTCTGCCCGAAATTTTTGTTCATTGTGCGTATTCGAGTTTGTGGAGTAAGGATCGTAGTGCATGTTCGTCCCGTTTCTGTTTCGCTGCTCAAGAAGAGGTAAACGATTCCTAGCCTTTTTTATTCCGATTCTAATGAATATTGAGTCATAAAATAGTCGTTGTTGTTGGTGAACTAATTTTGTCCGATTTGGTCAAGCTTGAATCTTCCTCTTCATGATAATATTTTCTGAAACTGATATGTTTGTATCTCGTTTTCAAAAATAAAATGATTTATCGCATGTTTAATCTAGTCTCCTCTATTTATGGTGCTCATCAAGACTTCGGGCTAAGTTGTACTCG